TTCCGGACCAAGAGGGTCCTTTTGGGGTTTTCTCTTCCGGTTTTGGAGCTGTTTTCGACTGAGGAAGGTACTTAGGGAGATTTGAGATACGTGGAGAGATTTGGGAGAGATTTCACATACTTGGAGAGATTTGGGAGAGATTTCACATGCTTGGAGAGATTTGAGAGAGATTCACTATACTTGGAGAGATTTTGCATACTTGGAGAGATTTGGGAGAGATTCACTATTCTTGGAGAGATTTAGCATACTTAGAGAGATTTGGGAGAGATTCACTATTCTTGGAGAGATTTCGCATACTTAGAGAGATTTGGGAGAGATTCACTATTCTTGCAGAGATTTCGCATACTTAGAGAGATTTGGGAGTGATTTCACATACTTGGAGAGATTTGGGAGATATTCACTATTCTTGGAGAGATTTGGGAGAGATTCACTATACTTGGAGAGATTTGCATTCTAACACTATATGGCTCCTTAGGAACTCATATTGAACACTTAGATGTGTTAGCACAAGTCTCACAATAGTCCTTGCTTACTTGAGGGTGAAATTTTCTAGCCAGGAAGGCTAGTTGTGACATTTCGAAATCAGTCCCTGAACTTTCAAATGTTTGGCAGTTTTTGTCCAACTTCGACAATTGGGGTATTTTTCGAATGTTTGGAAGACAAAAGGCAGAACTTTCGAAATCAGTCCCTGGAGTTTCGGAAATTTGGCAGTTTTTGCCCAAATTCGAAAAAGGACTGATTTTTTTGAGAAATTGAAGATTGTGCATTTCTGGCCCCTGCAGTTTGTGCGAATTTACGCTTTATGCCCAGTTTCGCAAATGGGGTAGAGTTTCGCATATTTGGCTGTTTTTGGCGCAATGGGTCCCTGCAAGTTTCATAAAGTGACAATTTCTATCCAGTTTTTGAAAAATCTTGCAACTTTCACCCAAAAAGTCAAAAAATTTCATAAATTGGAAATTTTTTGAGGCTTTTTCGTGATTGTTTTTCCATGCAAGATTTTTGGTGTTTCATTTTTGGTACACATCAAGGGGGAGTATCGTGAAGACTATTCCTCGGGCGCTTCTCACCCTTAATGGGTTTTATAATCATTTTTTTATTATAAAAGGAGGAGAATGATGGGTGTTCGAAGCTTCTCAGGTTTGTCGAATATTCATTTGCGGATTTGAAGACCGGTGTTACTTCGAGGGGGAGTTTGGTCTTGATCGCGCTACCTCGTTGGAGACTAAAGCCGGGACATCCAATCCTAACTTTGAGGGGGAGAATGTTATGGTGCAAAGTCACTCTCGGATGTAGTGTTTTAGGCTTACCTTCTTGTATGTGTAAATGGGTTGAGTCTTTCCTATAAATAGGAAGTGAGTGACTCCCATTACGTAACGAACCATTTGGAGTGTTAGTCTAGAGAGAGAATTTGTACAAGACCCATTTGTATACTCTTTCAAGATCTAATATGAGCTTACACAGATTTATTCACTCCTTGTGTTCTTGATTTTACATGATGATTCACTAGATCTTTTCTAATTTCGCACATGCCATCATAATCAACACCACTACAGTCTCGCTTAGTATAGTTATTCTTTGTAATATTTTGTATATTAGGTAATGATATAGATAAGTATAGAATAGATAGTAGATCTGATATCCTTGTGATGAGGATCAGTTCTTAGTATAGATTAGATGTAATCCCTTCAATCAAGGGATATACTTGTATCGATTAGTGTATAATATACATTGGGGTAACCCCTAATGTAGAGAGTTTGTCTTTGTGACAACCCTTCTTTTTGGTGAAGACAAAACCCTTTCTTGGTCAAAGACAATTTGGAGAACTCCATGTGTCATTTATTTTATGTTCTTTGTTTTCTTAGATTAGTTTACTTTTGTTATTTATACTTAAAGTGTATCTGATCGATACAAACCTTCAACAACATCCAGCAAGACCACTCTCCTTGGGCCTACAGTCGCAACTGGACCGCCCGAGTATATTGGCCTACAGCACAAAGCAGGATCACCTCAACTCACCTATAACATGTCGACATATACAAATAAAGAATAAACAACAAACACATGTAATCATCACAGATCTATCATTATAACATATTATTACATCATAACAACCTCCTATATACAAGGATATATAGATACTTACATCATAAAAACAGCATACATACAAGGATACATAATGTAATACAAAGTAAAGTGAGAAAACTCACCTCACAAACATACATACAAATACCACAGCTCACGCGGAAGTACAGACTAGTACAATGACCCACCTATACAACAATTAGAGGAAAAACCTCAATCTATAGCCAAAAACCCTCTAGTTGACCAAAAGTCAACTTTGTCAAAAAATCAATGGTCAATGGTCAAAGTCAAAGTCAACTCAGTTGGCCATCACGTCGTCGCCAAGCATAGGCCATGTTGTGGCAGTCTCAGGAAAAAATATTCCTGGGGAACTCTACGAGCACGTCGTGGTGAGGACATAACCATGTCGTGGTAACTACTCGTGGACATCTTAATGGATCAATCCCTTAATCCATTAAGCATCATACTCATCCTTTCCACAAGGGGGCTAAGGCTTGTTTATGCACTTGAGATGTTGATGGTTAAGCAAACCCTAGCCATCACATCCTTTAAATACGACTCTAGACCTAGAAATTAGGGTTTAGCACTCCAAGCATCACCACGTCGTGTTCATAGCCTTGTCATGTCGTGGTGCATCAAAAATAGGCATTCCATGTTAGTTGCGAACACATCGTGGTGCTTCCTCCACCACGTTGTGGGAACCACCAAATTCCACATTTAGAAGATCTAAAATGACCAAGTCTCAGAAGATGTAATCCTAGAACGGGTGTTACAGTTTGACCGACGATCATTGAACTATTTTTACCATTTTTTACAGAACTGGTATCTCAAGGAGCTAGTAGGAGCCAAACTGATCTTGATGAGATTCAAGACCCAAGCAATGAAGAACTTGATGTTTTCCATAGCACTCAACCAAAGGATGATATACCTGTTGAGGAATCTAACATACCTCCACCTCTTTCTCGTAGATCTGATAGAGAGTGTTTTACTCCCGAGTTTTATGGTTTCCATATCAATAAGGGCAATGACACACTACTTGGCGATGCTGATTTGAACATCTATCAGGAAGCCATGGCAGGCCTAGAGGCAGCGAAATAGCAAAAGGCAATGGAGAGCGATATTCAGTCCATGTATGATAACCATGTTTTGAATTTGGTTAATCCTACACCCAACATCAAAACCGTTGGATGTAAATAATGTCCATATTCACAACAGTTGATGATATTACTATTAATGTCAGTGTCCTTTTGAGTTACACAGAAGGACCAATATAAGAAATATTTACAAGAGAAAATTTATAGGGATCTATTTTGTTAATTATAATTAAGTATTTAATTAATTAAATGAAACTTGTATAAATTTATGAGGGCTTAAGTGTAAGAATCTAAAAGTCAGATAATTACCAAACTTAAGGATAATTACTGAGTAACTAAGTAATTATCCCCTAGGGCTTAAATCCTTCCCCTATAAATAGAGATCTTCGAAATCGGATTTGAAAGCTAGCAAGTGCAAAGAAATTCAAATGTTCTTTATCCTTCTCTAAAGTCCTGATCTCCCTTGCATTCGTGTTGCGATCTTCTTCTCTTCATTCCATGAACGAAGAAAAGAAACTCTAATTGATTAGTGTTTTAGTTGGTGGTTGATTCTATCAAGTCAATAGTTATTGATTGATCCTTAGGTACGACTACATCATAAGGATTCTCGTTTGGATCTTACCCCATCCGATCAATTGGATAGACGAAAGAAAACAAAGGCTTCGAATGTACGTACTTTTTCTATCTATTGTTGATGTCCTTTTGTTTTATTAGATTGGTTGAACATGGATCCGACTCTTGGGTTCATGAGTTATTGTTTGTTGTTTTGTATGCTTCCGCGGTGTGCCTTTATGAACAAAAGGAGATCAAAAAATAGATAGAAAAGAGTACGTACATTCAAAAAGATCCTCATAACCCAACACTATTTACTTTTATCGTTCGATAAGAAAAGCACGTGTTAGCGTATTCGAATATTAAAATTTCATTTTCGAACTTCCTAAGCTATATCAACAATTTTAAAGTAATATATGTTAATATATCTCACATTGGTGTGACACGATCCAATTAGTGTCCATATATGTTGGAGTTTCCATTCTCTCCACTAGACCACTTTTGAAGAGACAATCTTGACTCTACATATATCTTACATAGTATCAGAGTCAGCGTCCTTTGCTTCGTGGTTCAACACATCTTTATTAATCCTCATCGAGTCTTCGACTCTGAGGAGCAGTGTTAGTGTATCTTACATCAATACGACACGGTCCAATGAATGTGTATATATGTTGGAGTCGTCTATCTTTCCATACCGACTCTTTTGGAAAGACAATATTGAACTTTACATGAATCTTACAATATGCATGTATATGGAAAATTAAAATTCATCATGTTATATTTTTCATGTAAATATTATATTTGTAATGGTAGCTAGGTATAAACACACTCAGAGGTTTATAACATCATATTGCAACATTAGGTGTTGGCTTGGCGATTTTATTCGTGGACGTGCATAAACTACAAAGAAAAATTCGACCATGCTTAATTATGCAAAAATAGAAAATTTGACGTCTTGAAAGCACGTTTTTCTATGTTGAAAAAAATGACCCCCTTTTCCTTGGTTATACAAAGAAATGTTACGAAAGCGTGTCCATGATCCATACTTTTATATAAAAAGAACAATAACAAGCTTCTTTATCATGTGTAGATAAAGGTATGAAATGCCCTGGAAAAAGAAAAGGCGTAAAACGAGTAGAAACTTAGCATAGAAAGGAATTGCTTTATTCCTTTACGTGAATGCCAAGGTGTCGATAGCATTGTGCAACACACGTTCTCCATAAACTCACGTTACATTTATTATTACTTTGATTTTGTGCAACTACTTTGATCCCCACCACCACTTTTCTTATTCCTTCTTCATTTTCCTTCCTACTCAAAACACCCAACTCACCATTCATTTTCAATTCATTACTTTTCTCTCTCTCTCTCTCAACTTATAATCGTTTTATTTGTGATCGAGTTGATCGAACATAGAAAACAAGCTGTGAAAGCAACAAGTCAAGAGATACGGTGGAACCAACAAAGGAAAATGTTACAGAGGGCGGCAAGCAATGCGTATTCATGGTGGTGGGCTAGCCACATTCGGACCAAACAGTCAAAATGGCTCGAGCAAAGCCTTCAAGGTAGCTTAAGTTCCATCCCTTCAATTCTTTCGTTTTTATTTGCATACCAGTAATCGCAATATGTAGTACTTTATAAATAACTGTAGAAGGTATTCTTCTCGATCATAGTATTATATTTAAAATCAGGCAACAACAACCAGTCCAATTTGTTGTTGAAAATAATCCATTTTAGGAACAGATTATATGTTCCATCATTATAGACGGATATGTAAAGGATTTGTTACGGATAGAATCTGTCCGTCGCTAATCTATTGATGAAGTAGGGATTCAACCTTTTTACAACATCCGGAGTATGAGTTTTTTCAAAGTTTTATCATCCCAAAAAATAATGAAAATGGAAAAAAACTACCGGGGAAGTTTTTTCAAAGAGTTGACTGGGCATGTTCAGCATCCAGCTTATAAAAGATTCTAGCTTTTAGCTTATAGTAATAAAACTTAGAAAAAAAAAGTTTGGTTTAGGATTAGGATTAGGGGAGATCTAGCTTTTAGCTAAAACAAAATGCATCAAACTCAAAAGTTACTTCAAAAGTTACTTCAAATATAGTTTAACAAAAAAAAAGTTATAAATTTGCAAAATGATTTAATTACCTTTTTTAAATCAATTGTGTGTTTTAGATAAGTCATTTTATATAATTTTACATGATTTCAATTATTTACGTGAATATTCATATGCAAATAAAAGTTAGTTCTTCCAACTCACCTATGAACACGCATCTAATTTTGTCGAATCATCTACCTTTAGTACCTTTAATAAAGAAGCTCATGACATGAGGTTGTTTAATAATTTGGTGTGTATATTCGACCAAGTGAAATATAAAAGGGTCCCACAAAAAAATTGGAAAATACTCCGTATCTCATTTTTTGGAAATAAAATAAGCTCTTTCATGTTAAGCTTTTTCATAAATAAAATAAAATAAAAATAAAAACTCAACCGAAAAGCTTTATCCTCTTGCTGCCCGAAATTCTAGTAGTTGTTGAGAGGATTATCTCAACAAGAAAAAAGTTCAATAAGTGTTATAACATGTATTTTCTGGCTAATTAAAGAACTTATTATATAAGTGATGTGGATTTGTAGATATGGAAGAACAGGTTGCCAATGCGCTGAACCTCGTTCAAAAAGATGGCGATTCCTTCGCCAAGAGGGCAGAAATGTATTACAAGCACAGGCCAGAACTCATCGCCTTCATCGAGGAAAGTGTTCGTGCTTACAGAGCATTAGCCGAACGATACGATAAACTCTCCACCGACTTGCAAAAAGCCAACACCACCATCGCTTCCGTTTTCCCAGATCAACTCCCTTATGATACAGACTACGAAGATGACGATAACAACGCTCTTAAATCTCCCACAAACATAGCTCCAGATCCACCCAAGGCTCCAAAACTCCCAGAACCCAAAGACTTCAAGCGTTCGCTTACGAAAACCCAAAGCAAGAAGGAAACCAAAGTAGATGTTTTGAATTCCGGTTTAACCGAAGAAGAGGCTGTTGAAGAGATCGATAAGCTTCAGAAGGATATTCTTTCGTTGCAAACGATGAAGGAGTTCACCAAGAGCTCGTATGAAAACGGGCTTGCAAAGTTCTGGGAAATCGAGAAAAAGGTGACGGAAATGCAACAAAGAGTTTGCAGTTTACGAGATGAGTTTAATGTAACCAAAGATATCGAGGATGATGATGCTCGTGCTATAATGGCGGAGTCTGCTTTGAAGTCGTGTGAAGAGACATTGGCTCAGTTACAGGAGAAACAAGAGAAGTCAACCCAAGATGCTCGTTTGGCCCATGAGAGGATCGAAATTGCAAAACAGAAATTCAAATCCCTTAAACAAGATTATCTCAAGGACAAACCTGATCAAGAAGAAGAAGAATATAAACTTGGAAAGGATTCAAAGGATCCACAGAACTCGAATGAAAAGGAGCTACAAGAAAGGATCATAGAAAGCCTCGAGAAACTATCCAAGAAACCTTCGACAGTTACAGAAATGGCAGATACGGTTGACAAGCTCGTGAGCAAGGTAATTAGCTTAGAAACTTTGGTTTCATCACAAACTGCGCTTATCGACAGGTTAAGGATAGAAACAGATGATCTCCAGACACAGATTCGGAACTTGGAAGATGATAAATCTAACTTGATTGATGGGACACAAAATTTGGATAAAATGTTGAAGGATATGGAGGAAAAACTGAATGGAGTACAAGATTTGGATAGGAACATTGAGAACCAAAATAACAGCCTCAAGATGCAGCTCACTGACGCATGTTGCAAGCTTGAGCATTTGTCTGAGAACCTTCAAATCTCTCTGCAAGATGATCATGAACATGCAAAACCCAAGATCATGAGCCTGGAAGATGAACATTATCAACATCAGATGGTGGAGAAGATCGAAGACGATCTTCTTGAACCTGAATCACATGAGGAAAGAGTGAAGGACGAGATGGATTGGCAAGAACTGTTGTTGAGTGGTTTAGATAACAAAGAAGATGAACATGATCGAGATCAGATAGTGGAGAAGATGGAAGACAATCTTCTTAAACATGAATCACAAGAGGAAGGAGTGAAGGACGAGATGAATTGGCAAGAATTGTTGTTGAATGGTTTAGATGACAAAGAAAAGGTTCTTTTACAAGAGTATACTACGATCTTAAGGAAGTACAAGGCTGCTAAAAAGGAACTTGCAGAAGAAGAGGAGAAAAACCAAAGAACTGTCTTTGAAATGAAGCTACAAGTAAGAGACCTCGAAACCTTGCTATCAAAAAGAGACATTGAAATTCAACAGATGAAACAAAAGCTCAAACTTCTTCAAGAAGACGAAGGTAAAGACGATGTATCAGAAGAAAAAGAAGTAGTGGACGAAGAGGACGACATCAAGTCTATCTTTATGGTAAAATCCGAACCCGTTTCTGAGATTGAAGAAAAACTGCGAACTGGTATTGATGCGATACTCGATGAAAATCTTGAATTTTGGTTAAGATTCAGCTCTACATTCCATCAAGTCCAGAAATTTAAAACGGAGGTAGACGATCTACAACAGGATATTACACAACTCAAGAGTTCAGCTTCAAGATCAGAAATCAATCCCATATACAAACACCTTAAAGAAATACAAAACGAACTTACAATATGGTTAGAACAAAGCGTGTCTCTGAAAAACGAACTACAAAGGAGATGCTCATCGTTATCCATCATTCAAGAAGATATAGCAAGGGCATTGAGGGAAGGCATGGAAGAAGAAGAAATCAAGTTCAGCACGCATCAAGCTGCAAAGTTCCAAGGTGAGGTATTGAACATGCAACAAGAGAATAGAAAAGTTAGCGAAGAACTCCAAGCAGGTTTAGACCATGTCACATCTCTGCAACTTGAAACGGAAAAGACTCTAAGAAGGTTAGAGGATGAGTTTGGGCTTTCTGATCACGACCATAACCAGAAGCACCCACGGTTACAAAGCCGCTCACATGTGCCCTTGAGGTCTTTCATCTTCGGGGGTAAATCAAAAAAGCCAAAGCCTTCCATTTTGGCATGTATAAACCCCAATAAGAAACTTAGTGTATCAAACGGTGGGGTTATGTAAAATTTTGTTGTATTGTTTTGGTCTGTATGTAGGATTATAAATATATTTATCAAACTTGTTGTTGGTTTGATGCAAGATACATATTTGATGAAAGACATCGGATCCACATGTAATATAGGAACTAGAGTTGCGCACATGAACCAGGCCACCGATTGAGACGGAGGCTGGATGAGAGTGGGCCGGTCTTTCATATTGCCTGCCTATTCATATTGGTGCAACCGAAATCGGGAGTTTTTTTGGCCGAGACCGACGTATACCTTTTTTTTTTTAAAGAATACCGTCTCTAATCTCCATAGTCGATGAACCCGATTTTTGACTATTTTAACCATTTTCTCAATTAGTCGTGTGTATAAAACACTATAAATAGATGGAATTTGATATACTATTAGTGTATGTGTAGAGCATGTATAGTTAGGCCCATGCTTAAGCTTGGTCTTGGACTAGTGTTTATAGCTTACTGTTTTAATATTTATTGCTCAATGTTTTCTTGTAAGAGTATATGAGGCGTGTTTGGTATAAAGACACTTTAAAAGTTCTTTTTTTAATTTTTTTTTTAGCTTTCATCGTTTAAGAAACAACTAAAAAAAATGAGACAAAATTGTAAAAAGTTCCTTGTGCTTGTCAAAATTATATGGTTTTGGTCCAAAAAAGTTTGGTGATGCATTGGTGTTCCAATTTCGGATACCTTATGTGGTTTTGCTCATGTGGTTGGTATTTTTGTGTGGTTTTGGTCCATGCCCCACATGAAATGACAAATATGTCATTTGTTACTTCTTTTTTAATTTTCTTTTATTTAATTTCTTCTTATTTTGATTAAAAAAAGAAAATAAAATATCACCAACTCTCTCTCTCTCTCTCTCTCTCTCTCAAAAGTAGTTTTTAGGAGCTTTTAGCTTTTAGTTTTTAACTAATTTTAGACACCAAATGGCTTTTAGCCCAGTGGTATCGTGGTATCAGGTGTTGTCTTCCCTCCTTGAAGTTGAGGGTTCAAGTCTCATCGTGGACATCTGTGGAATTAAGGAGTAATTTAGGAGTAGAATAGTTTTTCATTAAAAAAACTAATTTTACACATTTTAAAGGTAACAATTGTTTTTGCCAAAAATTATAGTTTTACCAAAAATGTCTTATTTGTTTTTCATTAATGTAAGATATTGGTTTCATGGGAAAAAATATCATCTTACAAGCCTCTTATATGTGTTCCCTACGTTTCTCTGTCGTTTTCTTCCATCCTATGGTCATCGAAACCCTAAAAGTGGTGCCTTGATATAAACAGCGTTATGCGCTCTTCTTCCACTCCTTTATCAGAAAACCATGTGTAATCACCAATATCAAGGTTTATAAACCTCTTATCATCAATCTTGATTGTCTTAACTATGACATTTAGTGGGAATTTTTTTTAGATCCATTTCGTTGGTTTCTGTCAAAGTAACTGATATAAGAGCCCAAGGGCAAATATGTAATTTAATGTTAATTATTAGTTATAGTCAATTAGGTAGATTTGTGATTAGTTAACTGGTTAGTTAGCATTGTATATAAGTGTTTTCACTTTATGATTTTCAAGCTAATGAGAATATGAAATGATTTTCTCTCTAAACTCAAATTACAACATAGTAGGAGAGCAGATCTGTTAACCCTAATTCCGTAAGTTTCTTCATTTTTTTGTTTGATCTTCAATCAAAATTCTTCAAATCTTCAATCACGCCTTTCATGTTCTATTGATCCTACAACAAATTCATCTGAATCTAACGTTCTCAACATCACCAGTCCTTATTATCTTGGTTCGTCTGATAATCCTTTTTCAGTTCCCGTCTCAAATGTTTTCAATGGTGTTGGCTTCGCAACTTGGAAGCGGTCAATGACAATTGCTCTGGCAGCGAAGAACAAATTTTCATTTGTTGATTGAACGATTACCCAACCAAGTGTTGATTCTAAAGAAAAGAAACAGAGAAAACAGTAAATTGGATTTGCATAAACTCGCAAATTGAATTGAAGAAAATATCACTCCAAAAACTCCAACTCCACTATTACAGGATCCTATCAGGCATCTATATATACTGAACAAAACACATCAGTATAAGCCTAGGAAACTGAAAGTAAACATCTAATACTTTCCATATAAAATAGTCCTTATTACTCAAGGAAACTGTGAAACCTTGAACAACACTCCAAGGTACTTGGACAACACTCCAAGTTATCGCCATCTGGGTCAGAACAAGCAATGCTTCCATATCTGACTCAGCTATTCGCCAACAATCACCCCCTGAATTTTTGAGTCGAGGGTAATTCTTGCACGCCAAGAAACGCTTTCTTCTCTGCGAACCTTATCTGAGCTAAGGCCTTCATAACATCGAACCAATTCTTGTTCATTTTGGCTTCCTTATAATTCTTCGGTTCTTCATCGAATGTCATCATTAAATGATCCACATTAAGCTCGTAGTCATTTAATTTTCTTGGCAACACTGAAGTTCGAGTAGATCGCCGAAGTGGGACAAAACTTGCATCGTTATTTTGATCATCAACGGGTTGCGATGGACTGCTATCATCGTGCGAAGTGTCATCGATTTGTTTTTCAATTGATGTCTTGGCTTGCAAGTAATATGGTTTACCAATTTTTAACTGAATTTTGTAAAGTCGGTTTGCACTTCTAGGGACTTTCATAAGTAATCTTCCGTCTCCATCTCGCATGGTTAGGAAATCACCTCGCATCCGAATATCACAACCGGCTATTGTAGATTGCCCGAGGCTAATAACATTGCTACGAAGTGATGGGATATAATAAATATCCTTCATTAGTTTTTGCTCACCGCTTTTCCCTTCAAACAAAATTGACCCTTTTCCTTTAATGCTAACACACGATCCATCTCCAAATCTCACTCTACCCGTTATATTCTTATTTAATTCAGAAAAATAAGAATAGTTGTCGGTCATGTGGTTGCTCGCACCATTGTCCAAGTACCAAATTCCGTCTTCATCAACATTTGCTTCAATTTTTGGCGGGATGTATTTGTCTTCGTTCAAGAACACTGTTTCTTGAATTGCATTCATCATAAAGAACGATCCTTCTTCATGATATGTATCTACTTCGTGTGTCTGATTAAGGTTTGCCTCAAGATTTTTGATTCGGTCCGGGCATCTTGAAGCAAAGTGACCATACTTGTCACACCGGTAACATTGAATATTTGAGAGATCCCTTTGCTCACATTGTTTTCCCTTTTGATTTTGATCATCACGAGTTTTAGTGTATTCTGAGTGACTATGATTTTGGGTGCTACCCCTGTTGGATTAGTGTCTAAGTCCATAACTATTTTGGTATGTACTTGACCCGATTATGAGCATGGTCCTTTTGGGTTGCCTTCACCATAGCAATATGTAGGATGAATTAAGGAGAGAAAGGTTTAATTATGATTTATTAATATATTATGAGAATAATATATTAAAGGAGAAATCATATTGTTTAATTAATATTAGTCAAGAATTAATAAAGAATTAATTTTGTGACTAAAAGAGATTAATTAAACTTAAGGGACTTATTGTGTAATTATAAGATAATTACATAATTGGGCTATGGATCACCTTGGAATAATAGGTTGGACGAATTCTATGGGGAAGCCCATTAGAAATCGTCCAAGACATGTTCCAGAAGGGGTCCATGGACTGCTTAGGGCTTAAGCAGTCAGATTAGGGTTTCCTAGCTGTAAACCCTAATAGCCAGCATATATAAGGAACCCTTATGGCCCTAAAAACGTGGTGAATACTTGGATTAGGGTTTCCAGCCGTTTTTTTGGTGCCTCCCCTCTCCCCTCTCTTCTCTCCTTCATCCAATTACTTAGTGGTGTTTGTGACTCCATTAGAGGTGCAACACTTGAGGCACTAAGCTTTCTGAAGCCAAGGATTGATTGTTATTGCTATATAACAATCAAAGGTAAGATCTAAACCCTAATTTCAGTTATAGTTTATTAGATCTAGGGTTTATAGCTTTGGATATTCAATTGCATGTTCATTAGACAAACTAGATCCAAAGCTATTAGGGTCTGCATGTACACCATAAGAATGATGTATTGCTCGAAATGCATCAGTGGTATCAGAGCCTAGGGCTGTTTATTTGATGTATTTGATGCTATAGTTGATTATTCATGCTTAAAATCGAAATTTTTTGGTTTCTGGGGGCTGGACTCGCCGAGTCCATGGCTGAACTCGCCGAGTCCAAGCTAGACTCGACGAGTCAGAGTCGCAGATGGAGCAGATTTCGGGATTTTGACATGTTTTGGTTGTGGATAATTGCTTAAAACGTTCTTTATTAATAAAATCCGATTTTTATCAATATTTGGAGATTATCCTTGCCAAAATAGAAGATAATTGTCAAAATTTAGATAATCTTTTGTTTTATTAGATAAATATTGATTATTTGTAATTTAGATTTGAATTATCTTGTGAAAAAGTTTCAATTTTCCCCTTTAGGTTTTATAGTTTAAATTTGAACTTACAAGTTTTGTTTTTCAATTTGAATAGTTAAACCCTAATGTTTTGAAAAGTTTCAAAACTTGCCCTCAAGTTTTGGAATTTAAATTTTTTGATTAAAAGTTAATTTTGAAATATTTAAATTCTAATCCCAAATGTTTTGAAAAGTTTCAAAACTTGCCCTCAAGTTTTGGAATTTAAACGTTGATTAAAAGTTTGATTTTGAAATGTTAAATTCTAAAACCCTCGCATTTTGAAAAGTTCAAATTACACCCTTATGGTTTTGTTAATTAATTAAAGTGTATAATTAAAAGAGAGTTAATAAATCCATAAAGTTTTGGTTTACATTTAATAAAATTAAAAGTATAATTTATTAAATTAGACCACCTAGTATTTTAAAAGTGTAAAATACACCCTATACTATGTATATATGACATTAAAAGTCTAATATTATATATGTATGAGTAAACAGTCAGTCTTACCGTTAGTAGGTCTCATTCACGAAGCTGGTCTATAAGGGGTGTTTAAGGAAATTGTCTATA